TATACTGGTTTCTATTAAGGGCGCCAAAATACAAATGAAGGTAAGAATGAGTCTCATGGTCATAAAATCCACATCAATGGCTAGGGTAAATAGCCATTTAATTCCAGGCGACAGCGCAACTATCATTAACTTGGAAGAAGGAAAAACAACATAACACATTCTGTGTTGGTTGCCCCGTTGATCCAGGTGATCATGTTCATGTGAGTACGTGTGTGAAAGAAAGCTAGTCGAACGAGAGCCAAGGTTTCAGATAGGAAGATGAGACGTGTGAACCAATTGCCGGGCAGAACGGGAAGGAACATTAGACATTAGCACATGTGCATGCCGCATTTGGAAGTGACCACGTTTACTATACTAACCTAGAGGAACTAGACTGTACAAGCATGCAAAGCAGATAAGGGCGCTCGATCTGTGGGGTAACAATTAAGCCGCATGTATAAATACATATATTTTTCTGAGGTACATATTTGACCCCATCCTTTCAAAAACGATAAGCGAATTACACGCAAGCACCGAAAGGTAGAAACAGTTGACTCTAGTATTGGTGCGAGTGACAAGAAGTGACCACCTCCATGAAGAAGACATCACGCCACAAAGATATGCTTTCGCATTCGACGTTTCTTCAGGTCAGGTTGCAAGCAGTGAAAAAGATAGAGAGAGATCCGGAGTTAAACATTATTCCTGCTCTCAGGTGTAGTACCACAAATCTCTGTGAAGTAACCGACCCTCAGTTCTGCAAATTCGGAAACGATCGGAGTAGCACAGTGAAACGAACTAGAATGAGAACAAGACTAGGGTTGAAACGCTCCACGGGTACTACTGTTGGCGACAACCAATCGTATCACCAAATGTGTCTCTAACCAACGGTTTCGCTGAAATCGAGGAAGATCAGGGTTTTCATACCCGCAAAACTTAGTTTAGCCATCGTTTACTTTTTCCCACCGATTACCTACCTCGGCAAACGATGAACGCCGTGGGAATCTATTTGGTGACATGCGTAACATATGCTCCAACCCGCGGAATCCAAGGGGGTTAAATCACCTGTTTCAGTGAGCGACCGCGATTACCTAAAACTCTGCTCCAAACTTTGTCAGTCCTAGTCCGGGTTCCCCACCAGACAGACACGCGGTGTAAACCGCGATTTTCAAACAGTGAAGGTTTATATTTATCTTGTTCCCTTAATGACCCGGCTTCTATATCATAGAACAGCACGGGTTAAACTGTTGTTGTAGAATAGACTCAAAAATTCACAGACAACCGAATGTTGCGACGATGCCATAGACATCTGAAATTGGCCAACGTTAATCACACCCTCTATATGGTGTGCCGACACTTCATCCGTTTCAATAGCAAAATATATCTATCTCCTCGACTATTTCCCCAATTACTGTGAGGTCGGGAGATGGTCCAGCGGTGGCGCAGCGGTTTAGTTGCTGTCACCGGCGTGATTTGGACCTTGCGGTCCGAGGTCCGATTCCCTCTACCGCCACCCAACTTTCGTGGTGGACAGCTTTGCAGCCGCGCGGTTCGATACCACGTCTAATCTAGCAGGATCTTACTTGGTTCGCCATTCCTAGCCCCGAGGCTTTGGTTACCGGTTTCCATCCATAAACAACAGGTCTCCATACTATCCATTACAAAAAATGTCCAATAAAAAAGGCCAGTCANNNATATATATATATATATATATATATATATATATATATATATATATATATATATATATATATATATATTCATGCCAATACATCTCAATACATATCACTACTTGGGAATAAAATTGTCTTGGGAAAATAAACTAAAATAAAATCACATATTACTAGAACCGATTTCATCGTGAGACCGGAAATCGGGCTCACTCCGATCACATGTTTGTTAGAACCCATGCGAGTTAGTTTGCAAAACAGTGTCAAAGATACATTTATTTTTGTGAACATAGTTGTTGACATAAATTTGGTCGATCGAACAATCCACTCGGTGGACGTCACCTCGTTGTTCACCAAAGTTCCCAACAACGAAACGATTGAATACCTGTACAGTTATTTACAAACCAATAATGTAGAGCTCAGCCTCCCTTTGGATGACCTTAAGCAACTGCTTTACTTCTGCACGTATAATGTTCAATTCAAGTTTAATGATGAGATATATCGACAAAAGGATGGCGTGGCCACTGGGTCTCCGCTAGGACCGCTTTTCGCGGATTTATTCATGGCGAAACTTGAAAACACTCAATGACAGTCATCAATGGAAGGCTGTGTAGTATACACATGGTACGTAGATGATATCTATTGTGTGATCAGAGCAACATCGAACGCAACGGAATTATTAAACAGCTTCAACAGTACGCATCCCAACATAACATTTACATTAGAAATGGAGTGTAACAACAAACTGCCGTTTCTAGATGTCTGTATCACCCGTCGATCAGATAGTTCGGTGCAGCGTTCCGTGCACAGAAAGGCAATTAGGAAAGACCAATGCATTCATTTTCAAAGCGTTGTGCCACTGAAGGTGAAAAGGAATCTGTTTCGTTGCTGAGCGAATAGGGCAAAAAAGATTTGCAGTGAGGACACGCTAGAAGAAGAGCTCCGTACTATAAAATCTATCTTTGCACGTAACGGGTATCCGGAGCCTTTAGCCAACAAGATGATTCAGTGAACGGAAAACTCTGTACAAAACACGGAAGTTAGGAAAAATTCGTGTACATTTCTTTGCCGTTCAAATGGGACATATCAGCTGACATCGTACAAAGGAGATTGTCCGACGCAATCGATAAGACTTGATATGCATCCAAGCTTCGTGCGTTGTTTACGTCCAAGCTAATTGTATGTTTGCGACTGAAGGACAAAGTTCAAGACTCTGCGGTCTCATTCTGTGTATACTCAGTTACTTGTTCCTGTCGCACAACGTACATAGGTCGCACGGTCAGGCAACTATCCGAACGGAATCATGAATACCACCCTGCGTGGCTGAACACCGGAAAGATTAAGTCGCTCACCAGTGCAAAACAAATCACACTGTGGACGTGTCCGAAGCTTTCCGACCGCTGTATAAAGTTCGTCGGTGATTATTGAGGTAGGTTCGCTGTCGGATGCTGGCTACAGCAGAAGCGGTGGGCATTCGTCTGCACAACCCTCTCTGTGTGCCCAAAAATAATTTGTGCAAGCGCTAAGGCTTCCGTGGCCCATCCCCCACACACACACCGCATCACAAGTAATCTCGATGATCGGATGAGTGGATGAAAATCATGATCGTGGTGAATCCGATTTCCGGTCTCACGATGAAATCGGTTCTAGTAATATGTGATTTTATTTTAGTTTATTTTCCCAAGACAATTTTATTCCCAAGTAGTGGTATATATTGAGATGTATTGGCATGAATACGAATCTCTGAAAGCGAGCTTGTTCGCCACTCTGTTGTTTTGTCTGAAATGTCCTCTGTGGGACTATTTGGACTATATATATATATATATATATATATATATATATATATATATATATATATCATCGGATGAGCAAC